ATATTTAGATTTGTTTTATATAATCAATATATTTGTTGACAGGGAGGCTGTGAACAAACAGGAATTTATATTCATTTATTTAAAAAAAAATAAAAATAAAAAGTACCCCAGAAAAAGGCACTTTCTCTCAAGGAAGAAAAAGGGCAGGGGCTCAAGCCCCCTTTATGTGTGCATGTGTATGTTAGCAGGTAGACCAGCCTGGAGGGAGTTGAAGTAGTCTAGGTTTAATATTGAGCCCCATGGTGGAAGAAGGAGACATGACTCGAGATCTTCACCTGGTTCCTAAATTTATATTTGTTACCAGTCCCGTGCAGGTACAATGTGGAAAGGTGCAGAGTTGAGAAAAAACCCTGAAAAGATACTAAAAAAAAACCCTCTTCAAACTGAAGTCAGATACCCACTTAAATATGTGGCAAACATATATCTCATGCATGACACTGAGCATGAGATGACCAGAGCCTGAACCGGAACTTGTGCCGCCTTCTGATTGAGAAGGGGACATATTCTAATTTTTATGACACATGGAGCTTATCTTTCCTCTTCTCCCTCATTATCACATTAATATGTCATCAATACATATCACTGACTTGCCTTCTTCCCCGGAGTCCTTGTGCTTTATCATTTACAGATCCAGGACCGCACATCGTGGATCATAATGGTAGATGTCAAATCAGAGATTGTGATGGCGGATAGCGATCGTATTAGCGGATCGTGGATCATGATTGAGGTGACAGCTGATAGTCCATGATCAGATGCCACCATAATCCACAGTCCATCATCATGATCCACTGCCACCATCAGAATCAACCATCATGATCCATTATTATTTTTAACAAGACTGCTTGATATACAAATATGACTACTCCCATACTCTACCATTACTGACAATAACTCCTCAATTCATTTACTTTCCATTATTTTACAAACAGTTTCTTCTAATCAATGTTGTAAATACTGTTATTTTGCTGATGTTCTCAGTTACACATGGCATCTATTGCACTTCTGTCCGTCCTGGGAGAGAGATCCCTCACATGTGGCTCTCTGAGGTTTCTACATTTTTTCCCCCTGTTAAAAGGTTTTTTAGGTAGTTGTTCCTCACTCTTGTTGAGGGTTAAGGACAGAGGATGTCACTCCTTGTTAAGCCCTATGAGACAAATTGAGATTTGTGAATATGGGCTATGACAATAACATTTTATTTTATTGATGGATTGAATTATGAATAAATCTCAATGGAGCAGAACTGTGACAAATAACATCATAAATATCAACCTTAGAAGTTTTGATAGTTACACAACTGTTCCTGGTCTCTATCTCCTCTCTCTCCCCCCTTCCTCTTCTCTCCCCTCTTTTCCACCCACCTCTTCCTTTTCCCCCAGTTTGCCCTAACTGGTCAAAGCAGATGACATGGAGTCTGGTTCTGCTAGAGGTTTCTTCCAGTTATTGAGGGAGTTATTTTACCCCATAATTACCAAAGTGTGAGTTGTGGGCGTTGTTGGGATATTCAATAATATAATAATCTATGTACAGTGCCTTGAGATAAAGTATGTTACATTTTGGCGCTATACAAATCAAATTAAATTGGATTGCATTTGTCAGGTCATCTGTTCAGTTTGAACTTGTCCAGTCCAGTTCCTGTTTTTTTTTTCTTTCTCCTGCCAAGTGTAAGCCTGTTTATCTTTGAGTACATGTTTTTTCTGCACTTACTTCTTTTGTTTGTCTACATATGGGTCCAGCTCAGCAAATTACGTGACACTCATTAAACTGAAAGTTAATTTCACTTGCCATTTTTAAGTTGGAACAACTTGAAAAAAGTATTTAATAGAAATGTATTAACTAAATACAACTAGGTT